CTAAGCACCCTCTCAATGTATATGTTTTCCGCTTCACATTATTCTTCTCGCAATGAAAACAAATACACCCACTCATGCATAGATACACATTCTTACATGTGTATTGCATAAATGCAATGAGTGCAATGCCTGATAAAACAGATTCGTTGGGCAGCAACTGTGTGTGTGCAAAATTAATATCGTGTAATTAACAGCAAATTTAATGTCGTACGTGATTTAACCGATAAGACCCAAATTTCCTACACTTGTTTGCTTAAGCAAACATGCATAGATGTATACACAGATGTGTACATGCACACGTACAGATTTATTATATACGTTTATGCATGCATCCATTCATTCATTCATTCATTCATTCGAGCATACCTATGTATTTAATATGAACATATGAATGCGTGCATTAAAATGCTTTTCATGCTAAAGCAGATAGACGAGCATCGCGCTAACAAAAGCTGATTACCTTCATCTGAAATTGATGTGCATTTGTGTATGTATATAAGTAAGCATTTTACATTTAACAACATAGACGAAGGGCTATTTAACAATACGTTAAATGACATTTACAAGTGCAAATGTCAATATCGGTTTATAGACATTTTGAATTAATGCGCACATACGTACGTCGAGCATTGTAAACATTTCCGTGCTATTCATTTGAATATAGATTGGAATGCAGATTTTCTGTTGCATTGATTTAAAATTAAATTGAAATATTACAAGTAAGAAAACAAATACACACGTTCTAAGGGGCTCAGCCTAAACCCTCACCATGTCGGATGAGTACATGATGAAAATCGTTTAATATTTTGTTGATAAAACCGTACCTACGGATCTCGCCAAACGAAAATTTACATAGTCATTGTCCAAAAGAGTCGACAAATTCCTGCCAAGTATTTTCAACATCTTTTTGTATTAATGACGATTTCTTTTTGCATATCGAGGTCGATTTTCTTAAAAAAATTATACTCACTGGGGATCGTAAGTACTACTGTGATCAAGAAAAAAAGGGAATTTGCTTATAAAATGAAAAATGTAATTTTTTTCATTCAAATCACTCCCATCCCCTTCATAAGATTCATATTGTGTTCATTACTAGTTTTTGACCGACCTTGACGCATTTCTTTCCGGTATCCGCTCGATTGATCGATTGCTTCCGAGTCATATCCGTCACATCCATCAATTGTCATCTTTAGCAACGATGCTTCCTCCGACTTTCTGCTGGTCTGAAATCATTGCTTCACACATATAGTAAAAATAGGAAAACCCATTTTTTTATGTTTGCAAAAGCATGTGAAACTCTACAGCAGCTGTGTAAATTGACTTGAAGCTCTACATAAACGCCAAAGACAATAGTCCCAAGAATCAAAAAAAATAATAATAATTTCATGATTTCATAGTACCCGAGAAGTTTAAATGTTCACCTTAGTTTTTGATCAAAGTATTGTACCGGCTAAGTCACAAACTCACGGAGCAATCGATTTAGTTTTTCTAAATTGTTCGGCAAATGGCCGACTATTGTCTTGTAGACAAAAGAAGATGCATTCATCAACGTCGTGTCGCGGTATGCCTTGATAGTTTCAATTAAATACAAGAACTTCAACACGATCAGACCCGCAGCTGGCTATCGAATCTTCACCAAATCCTTTTTTTATTTTACAGCTTAACTTTAGCAGTATGAGCAACTTGGAAGTGGTCGCACAGCTTCACCTTGGTTTAACTACAGTTTCGAGAGCCGTCGATTTTTGCATAGGTCAAAGTGAACGTCGGAAAAATGAACTAGCATTCTAGCTCAAGAGCAGTATAGATTATGCTCGACACATTTGATACGGCACGCATCAAGCGACCCTTTTTAGTTTCGAAAACCTCCTTTAAGACCTTTTAGACCTTATTTTAGACCTTATATTAGGACTAACTTCGTGGTAAACTCTTGTATGCATATTTGCCCCTATCTCTCGAATAACGTTATATGTTATATAATCTTTGAGTAAGTCAGTCAATTATAGTTTGTAAATATGATTGATGTTTACAATCTTTTTACTTTCATTAATCCCTTGTTACATCGCATATTCTTTCGTATTTACTATAAAAGTACGTGGACTTGTAGTTTTTTGTTTTGCTAAACCTTAGTTATTTGCTTTTGAGTTCTGGTTGGGATTATTGATTCGCTTTGTCTGCGCATAGTAATCCTTAATCAATTTTCTTGCGGAATGTTTTATGGAAATTTTTCATTTGCTTTTATAGCATTAGCAAGGATTTTCAATGTTTAGCTGCTTGTAGATATTATAAATTTTACTATGTAGATTTTTAAATGTTTGAATGATTACATCAGAAGTAGAAGAACATACATTAGATGCTTGAATTAATTTCTTTTATTTAACATCTACGATGAAATGTGGGCAGTAAGCTTCTATATCCGCTGTAAACTGATTCACTGGAAAGCTACCAGTGCGGATTTTTTCTGATTTAGAAAAGTTTTGATTTCAAGCCGTCAAAATAGCATTTGCGGCACATATCCAGTCATTTCTTAACATTGCTGGTGAAACTTGTCCAGTGTCCTATGGAATTTCAAATCAAGATCTGTGGAATGATTCAGTAACATTCCAAGAGACGATGGTTGAGGGAAATGCTTTCCCACAAATGCAAGCTTGTTAGTTATAAATTCTTAATCGTTACAAATGCTTGGATGTTGATGAATCAATAGTAATGAATGAAAAGTACATGGAAAAGTGCTGCTCTGAAGACAAAAAAGGAAAGAATATACGTGATGTAAAGTGTGCGTAAACTACAATGAATCCAAGCGCGAAAGCAACAGTGGAACCACAAAAATGTAAGCCTGAGGACAGTAGACCCCTTGGAACAGTGTAAGTTGTTCCGTTTCATATGGATCCGGCTTGTAAGAATCACTTTGATTGTACAAACATTTAACAGACTAGATGGCATCGATTAGTAAACGGTTTTCAATACATATTCTCTATCTTACTCTTTAATGTTTTATAAGAGTGTGTACCAGCTAACAGTATTCGCTGTCGCAACCCATTCATTCACTGTACAAACCAAATCAGCACCGATTTAATAATTTATGAACTAATTGCAGCGCCCAACCCCCCTCTCTCTCGCTCTCTCTCTCTCTCTCTCTCTCTCGCTGTCTCGCTGTCTCTCTTCGGTATTCTACGCCACTGGTTGTTTACATGCCGAGACAGGTAAAAATTTAACAGCATCACTTAGCATTTTTAAACAAACAATCATCATCTTTTTGCCTGCACTTCCAACAGCCTTATACGTAACGTGAGTGTCCGTCGCGCCATATTTGAAAGTCTTCTAGTTTTTACTTTTCAAATGTCATGTCAATAAAAGTTGGACATTGATAGTCCGGAAATGGGGTCTCAACTAGACCTCTCTGTTTTACCAAGTTTTTTATGTTTAATGTTAAAGCAGTTGCTCTTTGTGTCGATTGAAAAGTTAAACAATACATTGTTATAAGTAAAAGATAGAACGGGTTGTGTTATATGTTAGGTATGTAAATCTAATTTGAGACATTTTCGTGTCAGGACGTAAGGAATACCACATAATGTTAGAAATCAATTGGACTTCTTCACCTTCAAAACATAAATATTTTACCTTTAAATACTCTGAACGTATGCGAATGCGATAACTGCTACCCTACTTGTTTATTTCAAAGAAAAATATTACGGATGATGAGAGACAAACAGATGAATAGACGAAACGATATGGTGAAGAGCAAAACATTAGAGGCAGGATGCAGGTGACATATTCACAAACCCGGCAAAACGATTGAACATTCACCTCACTTCCATTTGACGGAATTTCCTACGTGTGAAATAGCAAGGGTTGCTGTAGACTAATTAAAACCAAGTAACAAAACTTTTAAAAAGACATTTCCTCACCAAAACGCCGCTCGGGTTTATAGGCAAGAATGTCTCCAGAGAATGTTAGCACTGTCCTAGAGAACTACAGTCCGCCTTCTCCACTTCTTTCACTCGCCAAGGAAAGATTGTCTTTATTAACATTTATTACAATCAATAACTTCGAACGTCTTCATTTCTTTTGATTACATAACAATAGTGGTGTCTTCCGCCGACAATCTCAGAAAACCAGTTACTCGTTGTGCTTAACAAGGGACTTTACTTTCAATGCCATATCGTGTAGCACCTTAACCACATTCCAATGCAATCCAATAAATACAGCTTTTCTACCCTATATCACCTGTGGTCCAAAGGTATATTTAGTTTTTTGCGTATGTATGCAACGCCCAGAAGGACTTAGCATATACCGACCTTTTATTATACGGAACCATTTGTGAATCAACCTAAGCTGGTCTATCCGTCTGATATCTGTCGACGAACGCTCTTGGAAATGGTTTGGATCGGATCACCTCTTCGACCACTCCACCACCAAGAAATCGATATATGTCGGAATGGTGTTAATGGTTAGCCATGCTCCACTGTAATATTTCTACTTGCTTCTCTTATATCTTTTATTGGATTAAAACCACCTAACTTTGCCTAACTTTTCTAACCAAGTGGTGAACATATTGACCGTGAGTTAAGAAACTTCTCAATAAAGATGGATTGTGACGTTCAAACGCTTAAATTCCTAGATTAGAAATTTAAAAAACTCTTACCGCACTAAGCACACTACAACTTCGCCGAATGCCACCACTACTTGACTCCAATGCAGTCTGCAGTGAATAAGCTTATTCCAAGTCCAACATTATCTTTACAGATTGACTAATGTGCAAAGTTGCAAGTCTTCTATACCGGCAAACGCGATGCTAAATTTGTTTGTTGTTACTCAGTCCCTTCACCTCGTTCAATTCTCTGGATATAAAAGGCAACAATGATAATTTGAAACACTACGCTAAGTTACAGATAAGAGAAAATTCCAACGCCTTGCTGCATATGAATTCTTAAAAAAAAAAAATGTTTACAATGTTTACAAAAGCCAACAAAGCATTTATTTATATATGTACAATGAAAAAAAAAAAAAAAGAAAAACAAAGCGAATACAAATGCAGGTCGTAAAGCTGACTTCTATCACAAAGTGAGACAATCTTAGTAGGAATTTCCAGATAAAAGGAGAATCGTTTAGGTATTACACGTTAATAATAAAATAAATATTTGAAAATAAAATTAAGAAAGAAAATGCAAAAAGATGCTCTCGATCCATATAAAAGTATATCAAATCCAAAAAAAAAAAAAAGTTTAATATACAAAAATAGTTTACCAATAATTTGATATTCTAAGGTAAATTACAACCAATTTGACCGGCCACCTTGGCGGCGATATCGTTAGCAAAGCGCACACATTCGGTTAAGGATCGTTTATCGAGCCAGTAGTGTAGGAAGGCTGCAACAAAGGCATCGCCGCAACCCGTGGTGTCGACCACATTCTCAACACGAGTAGCGGCGAAAGTTTGATAAGTCAATTCGCCCGGGGGCGATTGCTCGTCTACAAAATTTGTTATCATTTGAACACCTTCGGAGCCTTTCGTAATCACCAATACTTTAGCGGTTGCACCGTCTTGCACCAAACCTTTAGCTAATTCCTCTACATTGCTCGCACCCCAACATTCGCGAAACGTTTCAAATTCATCCTTATTACCGAAAATGAATAGGGCGTGGTTAGCTAAATACAACATATGATGATAATTTAATTTCACTATGTAATTAGCGCTGAGATTCAATGCCAAATAGCGGCGTCCCTTTATATAATTGCGGACAATGAACGTAGCAACATCTTCACGTTCTGGTACGAAAAATCCCTCGATATAAATGATTTGTTTTCTCTCAGGAGCACGCAGAAACGGCGAGCTAAGATCATCGCGCTCGAATTTCTTAAGGAAATCTGTTGAAAATTTCGCTGATGCTCCAATATTAGCATATAAAGCTAATGAAGTGTTATAAACTAAACAAATGCAACGACCGGTCGGTGTATCAGGTATGATCTGCAATCTGTAATTACTAATATAAAGAAAAATGATGAATCAAAATAAATGAATCTTTATTATGAACACGCAATAAGAGAGAGATAGAGTATAACGAATCTTTGATATCCACTATCTGAATACTTGGAGACGATATAAAGTAGTGGAGCATTAATAAATAATTTCAAATATACGTAAAACGAATTGCAATAAACGGCACGGTTAGCGCCGAAATTATTTGAAACAACGTTAAGTGAATTCGTTGACAATTAAGTTGTGAATCTCAGCTAAAAATGTATGTACATATATTAGCTTTCTAGATTTCACAAGAACATAGGCAAAGGAATTAATCAATTGCTTCTTGAAGGTGTTTAAAAATTTGCAATGCACACTATTGACCGTAGGCCCACAAATCCGATTAATGAATATCTAGACAGATTTGAAAATCACACGCATACATCTCCAAAGTTGTGTGTAGGTGCGGATGTATTAAGCCCTCTATGGGACTGGACTATATGTTAAGAGCATATATGTTAAGTTTTAACATTTTATATCAATTTTTGCAATCAATAGGAGTTTTTCACGACAACAGAGGAACGGATTTCCCCGTCAAACATATGTATAGTTGACAATAGTTTACCATAACATGGAAAAGCCGAAGGACTGACTGATGCATGCTACTTAATATAGACTGCGAGTTTTGTGACTGTAGGATACTTGCTTTACGAATATTATTGAGCATTACAAGCGCAAACAAGAGCAGTATCGAAAAGACGGATTGACTCGTTTGGGGATATCATTTAATAAAATACAAATTCCAAGCTAATCATAAATATATACATTTTTTATCTATTTTATAGGCCGTTTCACTTTATATGCACACCCTAAGAGTGGAAAACCCTGAAATGGGACCGTTATCACTTTTGATCATCTTTACTATAAAAAATGTTTATAGAATTATCTTTTCGAAAAGAGAAAATACAGCGTCGAGAGCAGCAAAGGGAAAATTTAATAGTATGTGTTTCCTCTAGAGAGTGGATATCAGAAATCAGTTAGATCTTTCAAATATAACGCAAATGACCTTGGGAAAACTAATTTAGAAAATCGCTCAGTAATTAATGTAAAATAAGTTGCATGTTTGCTATATTAAGACAATGCTTCGCGTGGGAAGTACTTAATGCATCAGCTCAGCTGTTGTTTCAAAATGAATAAAGAAAATTACAGCAAAAATTTTAAACTACACATATATGAACAATGACCTACGCCATCGTAATGTACATTAGTAATTTATTAATGAGTTTTAACTTTGAAATGTTTACCTAAATTTCAAGTACCTACAATAAGAGAGATAAATGTTTGCTTAATAAAGTTAGATTTACAGGAAACATGTGAAACAGTAATCGGAAGTCATATTAGAAAGAGTTTTATATTAAAAGTAATGTAGTATAGATCTAAAGTCACTATTGCCACTAGAATTACGACTCCTACAGCATTAACAACTCATGCTACAGTAAAAATTGTCATAAGCATTTATTACCCACATTTATGCCGACAAACTTAAAATCAAAATAACTTGTGTTCGCTTCCGTCACTGCCGCTATAAATCAATATGAAAGAAATGTAAAGAATTTGGCTATGCCCTATATCTGCCCTCATTTCTTTATATAGCCAAAGGCGAAAAGGAGATCATGGAATCTCACGCAAGGAATCTCTACGTGCTAAAAACGGGAGGTAAAGCTGTTAAGCCTTCATCCCCAAACAATCTGAAACCCTCCAATTATTGGGTTTCACTCCAAGTTTGTCTTCAGGCTAACAAAAAATTTGAAAAACTCTGCCATATTTGTGTAATCCCTATTCTTGGGTTATGTAGTTATTAAATAGTTTTCATAAAAGTTTCATTCCCTCTTCCTTGGCGAGTTTGTCCTGATCTTAATGTATTTGTTTCTCTCAAATAATAACAAAATTAATAGAAATATGTAGAAATCGTGCGATATTTTACCATGAATTTAAGTCAGCTTTATGGAGAAGTTCCTCAATAAGATGTGCCTGCTTGTCGTCACCAACCGCTCCGAAAAACATCGGATCTGTACCAAGTGTCTTTAAAATTCTGGTCGTATTCAATGACGAACCACCCAAATGCGGCTCTTCTTGGCTAATTAAAGTTAAAATTAAACATGGATTATCGGATTTTGTTCTTATTCTTTCACTTACCTCTCGCCAATAGCTTCAGTGGTTACTTTATTCAATGTCTCGACATCTAATTCAGCTCTGGCATTCAGTGATAGCTTATGACGTTTCAAAATTTCCTGACTTTTCAAATGGGCGGTATGATCGAGTAGAACGTTACCGAAGGTTATAATCTTGGTCGGCGTGCTGGAGATACTGTAAGGGGGGTTAAAACGAGAGAAAGGCCGATTAAAAAACTGATGCCCACAATCGGTTCAGTAAATTAACGGTAAATATACTCATGTCTTGCTATGCTGTAATCTCGACTCCCGCCCCCATCGCCGAAAATTCTTGCATAAATTTGATGCAAGAAATTCATTTTGTTTTTGCGAAATATTGACGTTTTTCTTATAACACTAACTTGCATCGAAAGTTCTCAAATTTATTTCAAACCGGACGAAATTGCTTAATCAATATTTTTCTGCTTCAGATTAAAGTTTGAAGTTTATTTCAATGTACACATTATTTATTATACAACATTTCACTAGCAAAGGCACTTACGGACTGAACCGACTGACATTAAATAAATGATTCGGGCGCTTACCTTTGGCTTGAATCGTTTCAAATGTTTCTTTTGTAGTCCGTTCTATGAATTGCTTCGCTTTATAAAAAAAAAAAATAATTGTTTTATATTTATATCTCTTTCTTGTTTCTCTTAACAACGTCACGTAGATAAGAATATGAAAGCATAAACTTTTCCGAAGAAATTCTAAAATGAATGAAAAAAAAACGCTAACGAACATGAAAAGATAAAACTCATGTTTCCTTTGAAGGCAAGTCATGCAAGCTTTCTAAATGAAATGAAATTTACATGAGTACAACGTTGCACGCATTGCATTGAGTGCAACGTTCTTTTCTCTTCGATACGCGCGTAAAAATTAATATGAAATGTACGCTAAAACTTGTTTTTTTTATATAGAAACTTTAAACATTTTCTCTTACGAACCACGTTGGTAAGCTAACACTTTTATTGGTAAATAAATCGTTTCCGAGACAGAGTAAAGCAGAGTAAAGTCTTTCTCATTATCTCTTTCTTTTCTCTAACTGTTTGTTGTTCTTGACACTTGGAGAAAGATTTTAAGATGAAAGCTCTTACTATACTATAATCGCGAAAAGCTTCTCTTCTATACTTTCCCATTATTTTAAAGAAATTAATTCAATGCTCTTGCCTTTACTTTAACGTTTCATGTAATCGAAATTTTTAATTTTTGTTTCTAATAAGTTCTTGAAAGAACAAAAATTTGTTGAACACATTTGCACAACGTTTTCCTTTTCTTATTAGCAACATGTCCTTCTGGCCATGTATATCAACGCATATCTACCATAATTTCGAACAATTCAGTGCTTTTTTCATGCATTTTTCAGCGAAAGCTTTATAATAATACTAAGCTTTCCTTCTTGCAGAATTTCTCGGCAGCTCATCAAACCTAAAGATGAAGATTAAAATGTAAATAAACGCCATGAGAGCAGAATAAATTTGCTACTCTGTTAAATAAAAAACAAATAAGAACATTATTGTCAGGCAACACCGATCGTTACATACTCTACACCACTACGCCCAGTACAATTAGTCGCTCGTTTTGATAATAACGCTCAAGTCTTTCTCTGTGTGATATACATTCGCACAAATTTAATTTGTTTATTGCACCACAAGGGTGTAGTGTAGTGGTGGTGTTTACAAAAATCGTCGCCTTTAGAGTTGTAACCTGCACTTTTTTATCACAATCAATTTATGATTACTTTTTCCAAAAATTTAGTCATCCGAAATAAAAGTAGTGCAAGAGAACTATTATCGGCCAAAAGCTGCACCTCAATATGCAAAACAACTCTATTGCGTGTCAATTTATTGATATTGATTTACCTTTTGTAAGACATCAGACTGAACTTTCCAATAGGGATTCACTCAACACAGTTACCCTCGACGAGCGAAGAGGGCGAAATATAGAATGTTCAGGATAATGTCAACCACTTTTTTCTCCTTCATATAAGTTTCCTTTCGAAGCTTCGAAAATTTTTCGTCGAGAAGCTTCGGTTTGTTTAATTGTTCCCTCAATTTTTTTAATTTCAAATTTTAAATATCCGTTTTATAGTAACTATGCAGAAAGTAAACTCCACTGAGCATTAATTGAATGGCGGCTTGACCGTAAATTCGCAAAAATTAACAGTGAATGCTAAAAGGGGCAGTTCTGACAAAAGGGTTAGACACGTTCGATACAACAAGCTCGATTGCAGTGGGAAGGCATCAAAGAACGTTGCGCATTAATTTTGAATTCTGTGGAATTGTGCTGGGTTTGAATATTTAGAAAAATTGGCGAAAAGGAGGGGTTAAGGAAGACCAAAGCTTTGCTCGAATTAAAATGGAAGAAAAGTAATTCTAAACGAAAGAAGAGAATAGGTGGATGATAAACTTATTCAAGCAAGGGCTACCTTTGATCTCGAAAAGGTAAAAGTTTCGTTCGATGCATTGACCAGCCTTCCAGACATTGCGACGGGGAAGATAGGCAGGCTCACGTCCTTTCGAAAACAAAATTGAAAAAGCCGATGAACCCATGCTACAGAAAGTAAAGAAGGCAAGCATTCTTCCACTGCGATTGCAATCGCAAACCGGAGCAGCAACTGCGCACAAACGCACCTGAAAACTACGCCGAAGATATCTGATGAATGTATGGGAAATAATACGAATCCTGCCGCACTTAATCTTTCTGAATTAAAATACAATAGAAAACCTCGACTTTACCGAAAAATCGCGCCTGACATGCAACTGATATTAACAAAATTACAGAATGAAATTTGATTATAAAGATGCGGAAAAGTATTACTTTTACTGTCACGAGACTGGATGTTTTTCGTGGTGATTCAGTTTTCACTAAAGACTACACAACTAGACGTTACCTCTGAGAATAATTTTGAAAGTTTGAAATATGAAATGAAGTCACATCGCTGTTAGATTACCATGGACATGTAATGCATGAAGGAATATGTGGAGAATTTCAGCAAAAATGGCTCCTATTGGGAAGTTTTATTAAATTGGAAAAAATCCATTGTCTATGCGGATAAATGGTCGCCCATGCGCCTGGCTTAACTAGATTGTCGCTCCTTATACATTTGCAGTGGTTTCCTTCTACAGCTGAACAATGCTTACAGGCGTGATAACAAATAGTGTATTTCATCTGCAGCGAAAGGAATAGGGGAAATATCTGTTAACAGATATTCTGGACACCTTTGCAAACTATATGCTCTAGATGATGAGAACCATTGCAAACATATCACGAGTGGCAATAAAGCCTATTAATGTACAATAGGGTTCTCGTTGCCATGCACGTGCACTAACGTTTATGTGCATAGGGAACGCATTGTTCATAATGTAACGAACGACCTTAACACTAGTTCCTAGTTATTTAGGCTATAATTCTTCACATATACCTTAAATTATATGTCCCTAGAATAAACTGAGTAAGATGTTATCTCATTTCATTTTCTAAAAATCTAAACTTATTTTCACAAATAAAATCTTGACGATTGAAGTCTTTTGTAAAATTTGTCACTACGGGTACGAGATGTGTGTTAACAAAAATCATTTATTCATTTGTATACATGATACAGTCCAACAGTTTAGAAGGCCCACCTTACTAGTCTTCTGAAAGAGGTAAAAACTGGAAGCTCCCTAGTCCACAAGCCCGCTACTATTTATCCATATAGAGAATATAGTCTATTCAGAAAGAGTATAGCGAATAATAAGGGTTTAAGGGACTATTTTAAGAGATGCCTTCCAAAAGAAAACGAGGAATAGTGTGAATATATTTTGTTCGTTGTTATGTTATTATTCAGTTTAATATATTATAAGCTTTCTAATGTAAAAAAAAAGGTTTTGTTGTCTTTCTTGTTATCATCTCATGGTCGTTTGTCTGATTTTTCGGTCGCTCTAGAGTTATTCTCTATTTCAACCAACGGGTTGGAAGCAAACTTAAGGAATTCGATTTTTACTGCGCCCTTTAGAACAAGTGCGATGTTTACTCAAAATTCTTAATAGAATGACGTAATATTTCCTGATGAGAGCAAGAAATGAACTTAGAAACGTGTTTTCTTGCAATTTCTCGTCTTAGCTTGCTGTTACGTTCTTCTACCATAGGCTTACGGTGAGCGTGGCAATGAGTCAGAAAATTGGTGTTTATGGACGTCATACTAAATAAGGAAAGTTTTTTAAAGACAACCTTGCCAAGATGACGACCTTAAGGATAAGAGCGGCTTAATTCAAGAATGGCTATTATATAACTGGCCCAAAGCGCTTCACCCTCTTTCTTAATGCCCAGGCATAATCATCAAACATACGTGGGATGACGCCATGCCTGACACGATTTTAAAAATTTTATGAAAGCCGCCTTTCTTTACATTTAAGATATTCGTTCTTGAAAAATCCATTATATCTATTATATGGATATTATTGCGTTAGACGGCAAGAAATTCACAGACTAAAAAGAGGCACAAAAATTGTAAACACATTCGCAAAAATTCGAACACATGGATATGGACAATAAAACACGCATTAGATGATATTCAATTAGCTGAACTATATTTGAAATGTTTGACTAGGTACATAAGGGTAAATGACATTTCAAACATCTTGAAAATACGTTTGGTTTTTATTATTTATTTTTGGGACGGGATCTGTAAAAGGTGCAAAGGATTAAATAAAGAGTTTCCCGCAGAGACGCAAACAATGCTTATGTAAAATACTTACTTGGTTTTAGAATTGGTCTTGCATTTCGCGTTAACATAGTGATACAATACCACTAGCAGAAGCAAGAAACCGCCTAGAAAGTCGGAGAATATTTCTAGCTCGGCATCAGTAAACATTTCTTTACATTTAAAGCTTCGCCGCCGACAATAAAAGAAGTATTTTGAAATTAATCATTTATTCTTAATTCTATGAGAAAAATGTCACCTTAAGTCCTTAAAAAAGTAAATTTCTTTTCCTTTCTTTATTATCTTCAAAATCACGACAGCAATCTTCCTATGGGAATTTTATAATAAATGCAAAAAATTCTCTACTTAAAGTGATTTCATACGAAACGGCAAACTACCCAGATATCTGGCAACACCAATTTTTTGTGAAGACCTAAAGCTAAAGACCTAAAGAATAAGTTAGCTAAAGGATAGGTTAGCTAAATACATATATGGGCTACAACTCGGCATTTATTGTCAGCTGTATATAAATTTGTATGTAGATGTAGATATTTTTATGTAAATGTATATGCACATTACATTAATTTTTTATTTTGCTTTTAATTATTAGAAAAATACTTGAAGCTCGCCTTTTAGAGCTGAAAAAGTCTCTATCGCGACACTTGCCGTTTTGTTGTAGATGAAGGTAATCCACATTATAGACTTATATTTTTGGAATGTAGTATCACTTGTAACTCTTTTCCTGAAGGCTTTAAATACAAAACAGTCTGCGAACAAAGTAAACCTTGATTTTGGAACTAACTATGTACATATTTTCTTAAGCCGGCAAAAATATTTACAGAAATCTATGGTGAAAATCAAGGGCTAGGTTGGACAGTGGTCACCAGAATATCTTTTGTTCTATTGCGAGATGCCATAATCAGGCTTTATTCATATTTTCGGGTTGAGACTTCAACTTTCCCAATTTTTTACAAAACTTTATGGGAATTGATAGGTCACATGGTTTTGCATGTTACATACAAGTACAACAAGAAGAGAGAAAAATACAACAGGAAATGATGATCGTTTCTTTTAAATTTTAAAGATATTTATCTAATTTATGTTAACCTTACACTAATGTGCATTTCTTTTATATTACATCGTTTGCGTTTGTATTATTCTCTTCAATTTTTTTACTTTTTTTCCCTTACCGTCAAGCTAACCATCCAATGCCATCAAATATTTTTTAACTATATTTCTTTATATTATACAACACTGTGTATGTGCTTTTTTAAAAGCTTAGACTAACATGGCTGCCATATTTAAATATCAAAACGTAATTTGCATGTATGTATTTATATGTACCGTATTTTTCGGACTATAAGACGTACTTTTTTATATAGAAAATTTGACTCAAATTTTGGGTGCATCTTATCGCCCGGAGCTAACATCAATATATTATTTCAATAAATCGTTCAGATGAATGTAATACGAACGGTGACATTAACGTGGCGAAGAAACAATAACTAAGCATTTGACAAAGATATTATTTCTTTTAAGCCAACATAAAAAACGGTCAATATTTTTTATAATTTTAATGGATCTCTTACGGTATGCGTAATGACAATTCAGGTGAAACTACCATCGCTAGCATAGAAAACGCTTTTATCAAAACATTAAAAAGCAAGATTTTTTGAAACAATTTACTGAAAGAAAATATCATTCGGGTTGAAATAGAAAAGGTGTTACTGAAGGATTACTGAAGGTCTTGCTCAGGAACTTTAGTAAATGTTTTATTACGAGCAAAATATTGTCGTGGTAAAGATGAACCAAATATTGCTAGTACGATTTATGTTAGCAATAAATAAAATTTGGAAAGTAACATTAAAATGTATTTTTCTAAAAATCATCTGATAAATTTGAAGTGCGTCTTATAGTAAAGAAAAGTACGGTAATTAAACATTTAGTTTGCATTGCATTATTGGAGCAAAAATGATATAAAAAACAAGCGAGAAAAATACATTCGACGGTGACCGAATCTTTTATACACTTCAGCGCTTTTCTAAAAGAAAACAAAACACAGAATGAAAACTAAATTTCAATGCTCTATAATATTGTGTGGGCGCAGCTGATCTTTCCTCGTTTTTTATATAGAATAAAAGAGGATATTTTTATCGTAAACCTAGTGTAGTTTACGAAATTCCCTTGAGATGAATTTGTTGTTCACAGGAAGCATTCATGGGATCAGTGAATGAAAATATGAATTCGGTGTCATCAGCTTAAGTCGCTGTTAAGATATTGTCAGCGATGGGAAAATCTGAAGTGAAAGTTGTATGGACTTTGAATGCTTTCCCTGGGAACTCCTTTTTCGATTTTATACATATTGGATCTTTCATTTTCAACTTTGACAGAAATGTCTACAGATGTCTGTTTTGCAAATCGGATTGAAGAAGCAAGTACACGGAAGTTGGAAGACATTGTAAGTTTTTGTTTTGTTCATTATACCTTACAGCACTTGTAATTAAGATCGTGCACACGTTGGTAACACCCAGAAGACGGACCCAACTTTTAGTACACGGGTCGATTTAGAATCAGTTTTAAAATGTAGACTGTCTATCTATCCCTCTGTCTGCCTGTCCGTCTGATATGTATACATGGCTTTTCGTGTTCAACCTACAGGTTTCAATTTTTAAGATATTTTGACGAAATTTGGTGCAACGATGTGTTTGGGCTTTGTGGTATAGAATATTTAACACTGATCCATGGACTGCTATACCTTCATTACTTGTTTTTTATTAATTTTGCGCCCACTCCTCACAAAACGCACTACATTGTTAGCTTTCGATAACGGAGTAGATGAACTGAATAACTTTGGACAATGCCGATTGACGAACATAGACATTGTTTGAGATTTTTCCAAGAGGAAATTTTTGTAAATTTATAATTTTTAGCACTGGAACACGACTGAAGCTATTTAAAACACCTGTTTCCTATTGTAGTTGACTTAAGATTTTTATACCTTATTATTTCACTGTAATGTAACTAATTTACATGTAATAATGATAATAATAATACAACACTTATGGTAGAGAGGTATATTAAGTTTCTCTGTATATTTGCAACACCTAGAAGCACTTGAGTTAGACCTATCTATCGATTCAGAGTCACTCTCTAAATCAGTCTAAGCTTATCTGTCCGTCCGTCTGTCCGTCTTGGTTTCTTGCGTTCAATATACCGATCGAAATTTATGAGATATTTTGATAAAATATGATATACTCAGGTATTTCGGCCCAAGAATTAACCCTATTAAAAATTCTGGAGATCCAAACACTTTTTTGACCACTTCCTGTGTGGAGTGCTTAACGAAGGGCCATATAATACTATGGTGTTTCTATTTTACATTAGTAAACTGAATATATACGTGAAAGGTAAATTTTTCATTCGTGGTGAATACCCAAGTCTACATAAACATAATCAATATTTCTATAAAGCACAACCTTGTGGAAAACTAGCGAAACATTCTTTTCTGTAGAGCGTCTTTGTCTGCCTGTTGCTTGATTGCATGGCAACGATCCAATTTTTCCCAATTCTCATGCATTTTTAATGATCTATACGATAAGTATTAAAAAACAAGTAAGAACATTGTAGTCGGGCAAGGCCGACAATCCGATATCATACGTCAATTTTTCTAGTGTAGTTTTTCATTCGTACTGGTAATACTACACCAAAAAGTACACATTAAAATGATGCGAAACCACAATTTTTAGGAAAGACCGCATATTGGAAGATTAGACTTTCTCTCCACATAAAACCTTGCTTGCATGTTACGGTCCGAGAAGATAGACCTATGTGATCCACATTCCCTACAGTTCATTTTTCAAAAAAATGGCCCAGCGGTCATCAAAGGGACAGATGGACAGAGAGGCATACATCGATTCAAAATCGTTTTTTAAGTCGATCGGTGTAATGAAAGGTCTATTTTAAGCCCTTCTGCGTGTTGCATACGTGCGCACTGACTTAATATACCCTGTAGCAGAAGTGTCACAGCGTGTAAATATGAAAACAAATAACAGCTTCTCGTGCTGGTTTTAACAAGAAATATTTTGAAAAATTTTTTCCGTAGAAAATTCTTTCGCCTATGCTTTCAGAAGAAATATAATAAAAAAAAAATTAGCTGAGCATTTCTTTCCGCGTATTTTACGTACGGTGTCGTTCATTGACCAAAGACATGAATTTAAAATTGGCGAAACTACCTTTCAGTCAAATATTAATTTTGCATGCGAAATATCAATACCAGACTTGCATTCCTCAATTAATGTCTAGATAATTAATACAATAAGATAAGTGTTTTATCATTGCTTTGTCGTCATTCAGTTAAGTTTGATTGTTTTCATACAATAGTTTTGTTGTCGAGTTGATAATTATTTCTTTTTTAATTTACTTTTTTATTATGACTGCTCTAACAGTTGTTCAAGCCCTCTCTTTAAAAAGAAATAACAGTCCTTTAGTCGGGCAAGGCCGACTGCTAGGTGTCCTACAACACTCCACTTAATGCTGTCATTCAATCATTTTCTTAATAATACATCAAAAATTTGGTGTAAATGTATAACACTCAATGCCAAGGCGAGGATACGCAAACGTCAAGGTAGTCTAAAGTCATCTGCAAGAACCCACAAAGTAGACTTTGTCGCTGTAGAAGGATTTGCTTTCATAGGAGCCCCTCTATGCGGTGTACTCTGAAAAATAGATCTACGTGATCCATATTCCCTAAAAACAAATTTTCATCACTACATATTAAAAATCGTACATTTTCTGGATATTAGGCTTTTTTTTTCATTAGAACCCTTACGTGTGTTGGGATCCAAAACATAGACCTACATTGTCGAAATTCGACAAAGCAAATTTTTGCATCAAATTATTATTATGAACGAATTTTCATCAAGAAGTATTGAAAGCTAGGCCTTTTTACCATATCAAGATTCAGTATCGGTCAGTATAATATAAGGTGGGCCCATCTCAACTCATTCTTGGTGTTATAACCGACGGTGCAAACCTAATGTACCCAGTACATAACCACAAGCGACGTAGGGTATAATAAATATATATATTTCACAAGAGTTAAGCTCAAACAAAAATGTTTCCGTGACCTACCTAACGTTACTGTTATGGAAAAATGTTAAAGACAAAAACCTTCGTAAAAATTCCATTTACTGTTCATAGACAATCGGTATGTTAACACAAGTTTTTATTCATTCAAACAAAATTCATTCAAATATTGATTTAAGAGCTTTACCCGCACGTAAAAACCCATTCCACCACCAGCCAACTAATTGCATGGTGTGTAGTTGATAACAAACATTTATATGGTTGAGTAAACACGAACATGAAATTGAGAAATAAGCAATAATGAACAATAAGTGTGTTCACTTAGCCCTATCGGGGGCTATGAGTTCTAATAAATCGCTTAATAAAGAAAAAAGTAAAATTTGCAACATTTTCATATTTGAATAAAAGTAAAAATTAACCGGAACAGAGATGCATTTTGTTTGAGATTTTAATGAAATTTGAGGCAAAAATGTTGAAATTAAAAAGGTGAATTTCTGTACGAAAAAAATATGTATCGGACACTCTACAGCATTTACAATTGTTTCACTGTGACAAGCGTATTGATTTGGACGTCTTCGTCCATCGAAATTTCGATTACGGCTTTTAGTCTTAACCTAGAAATGAAAATTAGCTCTCAATATATTTCAAGGGAAAGGGTTCATCCAAAATTAGCATAATTTTGTGTTCGCTAAGTCACGCTAAGTCATACGCATTTTTCAGATAATTTGCGCTGTGCAGTGATAATTCTGCTGAATTATAGAAGAAGAAGAAAATGTTGTATGCTGGGGAATGATTGACTCATTAGCTCTATTCGCCTTCTTCTCCTTTGCTACGCATACCTTTTTTTTTCTGCTTCATCTATTGTCAATTTAGAAATGTTCGTCTCTCCGTTCATCTGCCTGCCTTTCCTTGATTTAATTGTATCCGTTTATATGAACATCTGATTTATCGCATCCCTCTATATAAACACCAGTCCATTTGTTGCTCGCTACTGCTCACGATAGACACTGAATAATATTTCGTTAGTTGATAGTCGCAGATCAATTTTGAAAGATTGGTAAAATTGACGTTAAAAGCTCACTCCATAGTCTACAACATTGGATGGGCGTGGCTGATTTGGTTTTCTATTTTAAAATAATTCTGAAAATTTACATAGTGTACTTGTTACAGTTCATAGTAAAAAAGTACAAGCACGGAAAACAAAGGTGGCCTCAGTCGCGTTGGCGTTGTTAGGCGTACCCTTCGACCTTTGGAGAACAGATCTGCTTTTGGTTTACTTGGCACTGTAAGCGTGGTCTTCAATCGATCGGGCCCATTTTCAATGTCAACGTGTCTGCAACAGCTTTCAATTTTTCTGCCAAAGCTGAAGTCGATAACTTTATTTTTACTGCCAGGACAACAGACATTGTACATATGGACAGTCGGATGGACAGGCAGGCAGACATACTTATATCGCTTCAGAATTTCATGCTCATTAAGAACATGTTTATTTTGTAGGGTCTTTTTGGGCGATACAAACCTTCTGACAAAATGATTGTACTCCTCATCCATCCGTAATAGACATAAAAAGACTGTAGTGTATGCCTATGAAAAAGGCCACAGTAGTCAAACAAATCAGATCAAGTTGCATATAATTTCTTTATAATTTGAAAAAAAAAAAAAAAAGCTTACGGTATTTACTGAAATTCCGAAAACGTTAACATATTCTTTCTTTTCGTGAAAAGCCGTCAAGAGCTAAGCGGAAGTTAACCTACTTATGTCAAAATTTATTATTCATCCACATTAAAGGTTATATCGGAATTGTATGCATTATAATATGTAGTTTACATGAAACTTGTGGGGTTTTTCTTTTTTACAATTTCAATATTAAGAGAATAAAAGACCTGTAAAGAGTATTTAGTATGAAAAAATCCAACCGGCTAAAAGTTCCCCTATTGAGAGAAACAAAATAGATATATAAGAAATATGCCGGTCAGTAAATGAGCTTTTTTGTGTCTGCTTCTGATGAAATTCAATGAAATCGGTCTAAGTAGGAGAGCTGGCATATAAAAGGCAGTACTTTTCGATATTGTCCATGCATTGCGAAATTGAAACTGAAAAGTGAACGGTTATTAATTAAATTAACGCTCGCTCAATATTATTACGAAAAGAATTTCATAACAATCGTGTATTAAAAGCAAAAAAAAAAATATTGCAGTGAAAAAAAAACAAAAACCAAAAGCATCAAATAAAACTTGAAAGAGCAAGAAATTTTATTAAAGTATAATTTACAAGAACTCATTAGGGACGCCCCTTCGTAAAAAACAACAAAATACATTATAACAAAAGCATCAAAATAACAGCAAGTGGTAAACAAGTGCTTGACAAAAACAAATTCACTAACAATATGGTCGTTGAAGAAACAAAAATACAAACATATCAAGAAGAAAGCATGACTTTGAAAAGCATGGCTATCAATGAAATGGATTACTCAAGAATTGGACGTACCGTTAGGACGGCATTGGTTAAAGCCCAGAGCGAGTCTCGTCTTATCGTAGGCCTTAGTGCGGCTGTTACGGTGCTATCTAAAGCAGCGGAAGGTACACTTTTCTGTTTGCTAGCTGAACCTCAAGATGGTGACTCAGCGACTCATATGCATGAAGTATTACTGGAAGCTTTCTGTTATGAAAATGACATTTACGTTATCAAAGTTGATTGCCCGATTAAGCTGAGTCGTATTTTGGGCAAAACTTCTATCGAATCTTGTTGTCTTATACAAAAAACCTGGACCGGTGATAATAACAATGAGGAACTGCTTAATAAACCGGAAACTCTGTTAGTTGATTATTGTGAAGCTTTCTGGGATGCACCAACATCTACGGTTATAAAGTTACCGAATGTGTGATGCGACGACGTGTCGGTGAACTTTTAATGTGCATGGAAATAACACCCCTCGATTACGGTAATGGGGGGAGGAATATATTTCTTTAGAAAAACACAAACATACGAACATAAATAGAATCCCGGCTGAACGCTGAAAACGTTTGGAGATTTATATAATGCTATTGTGATATAAATGCATGAACCGATGTTTAAGTGTTTAACGCAATTTATTTAATTCTAAAAAACAACAACAACAACAACGACAACAACAACAATTTTTTTTTGGAGATCTGATGATACATAGGCAAGGTTAACGGTACATTATATCTCTATAGGAGAATGGGAAACAATCTACAATGAAATAAATAAATAAACAATTAATTCTATTGTTATAATTAATTAAACTTATATATTTTGTAAATGTGTTGTAGAATTCAATTTATTCATAAAGTATTCTAAAGAGACATAATTAAATGGTTAAGAATCTAAATATGTTAAGCCTAACAGAATTTAGAGGTTACAACCAGTGCGAGAGAGAGTTGATCAACTTGAATCAATTAAAATAAAATGAAAAAAAAACCCATTTCTTGTAAACTATAAAAAAATAGTTTTGACTTTTTTTTATTTTTTTTTATATAGAGAAGGCGTTTAGGTAAAACGCGTAATCATTTTTTTTTTTTTTTATTTTTCCTGTAAATTATGATTGTTTGCGTTAAAGTCACTATTAAAAGGAACAGTTTTGTTGTTAATAAAAAAAATTTTATTAAAAAATTACATTTTATATTTTTTGTTATTTATGATTAATATGCAAATTTGTTGTTATGCTAGCTTTTCGTACATTGTTCATACATTAAAATAAATAAAAATGAAAATTTTCCAATAATTTCCAAAGTGTGCTTATTTCACAACTCAAGCTAAATGAATAGTATGTAGTAAGAGGGCGAGAATCCCAGCATACAAAAGCGAAGAAAAACTAATTGAATTAGAAATATTTGCTTCAGTTTTGAAAACTTGGAGACAACTTAAGTTCTTTACGGGAGAAAACAAGTTAAAAAGTTTTATATGTTTTATGGCATAAATAGCTCCTTAAACGTGGGCGTAACTGTTTATCGATTGCATATCTTAGCTAACTCGAGGAAGTAATTGTTTCAGATCAACATATTTTTTTAAGTACAACTTACGATTTATTCCCTACTTTGGGCGTCCCTATACGGGGGCCTTACTGTTTAGGAGGCAACGGCTCTTTTCTCACTTAACCTTTATATTTCCTCGGTTAATATTTGTATTAAATTTCATATTGATAATTTTTAAACTACCGTAGGCGTGGTTTTAGCTCACACCTTTTCTCAAACTTGATCTACAATAATCAACTTAGATTCAAATATCTGTCATGATGTATTTCTACCGTAAAGATTCTACAAACTGACACTAAACGGACGGCCAGAGATTCGTAATCTTATGGTAATGTAAAATATATATATATATTGGAAGGTCGTTGGGGAGCAGAAGCCAATCTTCATCGACTTTTAAAAGTGAATTTGGTTCGATTTAGTCCGATTTGTATTAAAAACAACTTGAAGAATCGACTTAGGCTTTAAGCTAAAAATTTCGAAATTTAGAGAAAAAGCTAAGAAATTAACTTCGTTTTGATAATAGCTAGTGGACCTATGGAACAGTTTGCTTAATTTTCAAGCAAAACCCAAGATCCCAACAGACGACATGAAAAGCGGACAGACAAAGCGCGGACAATCGGTGAAGATGTGTGTTAAGTTAACTTGGAATGCAATTTACGGTGATTAAGAATCTAATTCTCGGATTAGGGCTATGTCACCACGCACCAGATTGAGATGGCCTATGTGTCATCAAAGCCATATTACCGCTTTCAATGAAAAGCAAATACCATACTTTCTAGGCTCCAATTTTTCTGAGGGCGGAAAGCACGTAATTTTTTCTAACGAGAGAGCTCTTTCAACGAAACCGCAACACAATTTTGGAAATATCTTTTGTCATAATATGTACACTGGAAGGCGAACACGGAAAGGTTTTCCGCGTAGTGTTCTTTTCGTCTTAAAATACGTTTGTACATTCCGCGTAAATGTAGGCAACAATACATTCTATGCATTCGACAATCTAGGCATTACTCAGTTCAATACCAAGTCAATGTCCGTGGGTTCGAATCTCAGTGCGAGAGAGCATACTTCGTTGAAGCTATAGTGAGTGGGCACGCGCCCACTTACCTGGCACTATCTATCTATCTCTTTCTTTTTTTCTTCTCTTCTTCCTGACCCTTAACGTATTACGCCTATGGTGGGTATCTTTTAATTGATTAGTCGCCATAAACGTTAAATTTACTGCACTTCCGAAATCTCGAAGGAATTCTTCGTCCAATGATAGAACGTTTTGTGCTAAGTTATATTTTAAAGAACATCAAGCAGTAATTAAAAGAAAATTACTGAAAAACCGTTCGTGTTATAAACATAAACTTGTAAATACAAATTTAAAGGACTTTCTATGGCATAAATTTGTGCGTTACAGATATTTCAAGAACGTAGTATAACTTGGATATAAAAATATGAATGAACCGTTCCTGCTAAAAATGAATGTAAAAATATCTTCCAATTTAGTTTGCATTATGCAAGGCGTTTTCCTCTCAAAATCCAAAAAGAAAGATTCTTATCGATAAACGTTTCATTATGACTTTCAATTATTTCATTAATTCATTTGTAAATTAGAAAGAGTTGGGAATTTTGTTACAAAATACACAAACAGCAGAATCAATAAAGTAATAGAAAGAGCAAAAAATTATTCAAAAACTTTAAGGCGAATTGTAAGCACCCTTGACTTGGCTTGAAACCCATATGAAAAAATATTCATCCGAAACTTCGGCTTAATGTCAAAGAATCGATTTGTTTTTAGGGCCCATTAGTTGTCGTATATCCTATATAGCAATATTATTATTACATTCTTTATAAGGAATTATATAATAATAACTTTTCTTGCATAAGATACTCTGCAAATCTATTTCATTTGCAAAAGTTCCTGGAAGAATAGTGATAGAAATCAATAAAGGCATTACCTTTTTTCAGATCTTATATTAATCATAGACCGTATTTTATAGTTAACTTGAACCAGGCAACAGACTTTTATGTGTTACAAATGAAATCCAAAAAATCGTTACACTTTATACTTCCGTAACAGAACTTGAAGGGCAGCGTGACTTGCATATGAGAATTTATTGTGCAAATATTAGGGCAAGTACAAGCATACATTACAAATACATGCATATATGAATGAATGTATATATGCATGCTTATATCTATTTGTGAGTGTGTGCACGTATATATAACGTGCATAAAACACAACATGCCTACATGCAGCGATATTGATTCAATGTTATTAGCACTTGGAACTTTATACCGAAAAATGTGCAAAGTAATTTTAACTAACGGTTGTAAATGGCTTATCGTGCATTTAATTTAGGTTAAGCTAAACCATAATTTCTTATTAATCACCCTGATACAACTATTTAGGAGAAATTCTTTTAAAAAAAGAATTCAATATGGTTTAAGCGAATTTATAAGTGTTTATATATATATATATATATATATATAATCAATTAATTGAAAACGTTGCATTACAGTTTTCCTCAATGGACTCTCAAAGCAAATCGCATGATAATGTTTATTGCATTTCGATTTTGTGATCATTATCTAGATGGCTGAACAAGATAGGAGCAGGTGTTAATAGAAATTCTGTAGTGAGAAAAAAATCAGTACGAAATATTTATTTATTTATTTGTTTTTTGTTTTTGCTTTTCGCATTTAGTATACATAGCTACGTGCGGGCATAAGCATACATCACTTACATGTTTTCATTTACACAAATTATTATAACGTTGCTGTTGTTTTGTGGATAAAGGTGATAACAGCAAAATATGAAAAATATGATTAACAGAAAATTTCTTATGTATTTATTACAAATTAGCGCAATGTTATGTTTAAATGAAATACATGACTACTATCACACAAGCTTGTTATGCAATATTTTTTCATAAAGACAAAAAAACAAAAACAAAATTCATTTGATAGGTTTATGAAAAGTAAATAAACACATTTTTTAAGTAATGTTAAGCATGCTTCTGACGAGCTGTAATCGCACGTGTGAGTATGCGTATGAATTCAAGGAAATTTCCCAGCATTTCACTATCACATTAAATTTGTGTTAACTTCACTTGTACAGATAGCTTTTGCAAGCAATTATATCTCTATTCATTAACTTTAGATGAAAAATATTTTAATAAATGCAAACATTTCCGTCCCAATAACTGTAAAGAGAGTTATTAGCCTCATGTTAAGCTGACATAAATAGACATAACTAAGGCAGGGTAAGTGTTATATATATACCGATCAAAGTACTGCGTTCTAAGAAAATCAGAACAATAGATAAAAGGAGTTATATGCGATTTGAATCGATTGCACTGATTCTGCCTAGTAAGTGTAAATTATTTCATCGTAAGTTAAAGCGAATGTCCTTTCATTCGATACCCTGTTTAATTTAAGTCATCATAGCCTCTAATTTGGCTGCACTTTGCTGGTAGTTGCACAAATTTAAAATCGCATTTACCTAGTCTGCCATAAGCGGTTGCTTTGTCCAGGATCAGACATTCTATGCTCGGAGTACAACCGCTGCCGCAGCAGAACAATTGCCGGCATATTTCCAGATATCGTGCCAACACATACATCGTCGTGGTGAGCTATCTAATATCAGCAAGTCTTTGGAAAAACTCGGCCTGCTATAGACTTTCCAATGACTGGGAAAGAGGTCTAGAAAGAAACCTCGCCTCGTCGCCGCTTGCTTAGCCTGCCGTTACTACAATGTAGAAAAAAATAGTTTCCTTCCACAGGTAATCTGCTCCCTTAAATGCTGTTGATTTTTCTATGGCAATTGTGTTGCTGGGAGGTAAATGAATCAGTTAGTTAAGCACCCATCCAATAATACTGTTTTACTGTTTTAATGTTTTCTTTAATATAAAACAAAATGTTGAGTATAGAAAATTCGATTACAGCCGATTACGATATTCTTACCTGTTTAAGATTAAACTTTTCGAGCAACCGATTACAATAAGGTCAATGGAAAAATTAACCACAATTTAAATAACTATGTAATAATAATAAAAACAAAAACAACACCAGTAACAACAATAACAAACAATAATGCAATATCGTTTGCAGTTAAATATATAAAAAGTTAATGGTGCAATAAGCTTTATGTGTTGCAATTAAAATTCACCTAAACAAACACGATTTCACAAGTTTTCACGTGGAAATTTTATACATCCACACATGATCTTTATTCGGTATTATCCACTTTTTCAATTAGACCTTTTCATTTACGCAAAAAAAAAAAAAAAAAACAAGAAAAAGAAAAACATTAATAATAATAATAATAATAATGATAAACATTAACTTATTCGCGTATTTGTGTTATTTTACAAAGCGAAAGCATGTTAAGTAATAAGGAATTCCCTTTGAAGAACTTAACGCAAGCACTTTACTGTGCTCTCATTTCTTTGTCTTCTTTGTCATTCCCGCGGAGTGAATTGAATGTAAGCTAATCTTTTGTAATGCTGTTAATGCATATAGTGACCAGCGCGAGATTCCAAGTCCAATTAATTATGTCGATCTGTCTGTCTGTCCGTCAGCAAGCATAAAGCTCCTTGGTATCTTAAATGGTTTCAGAAATTATTTCTGGAGGTGAAATTAAATAAAACTGTTCATATACCCTTCTGTACATCTCCACGGCACGATGTACTTTTCAGAGATTGTTCTG